AAGAAAAAGAAAAAGAAAAAGAAAAGAAGGAAAACCCCCAGAAAGACCACAGAAGAATGAAGATAGCTCCAGGCATATTCTGTACAATTTTAGTTATAATCTAACTTTTCTACTTTTCTTTGCCAGCCTAATTTTTGTAAATAAATATATACATATATACAAAATAAATCTATAACTGCAGATTTTCTAAATAATTACAGCAACTAGACTTTAGATCATAGGAAAATGATAGGAAAATAGATTATGATAGGAAATCATCATCTATTGTCTTGATTTTGTGACATAACACTATTCCCCTACAGATATTCTTATATTATAGTTTCCCAACCAATGAGTGACTGAGGACAGCATTGATCATACTGCTTTTTGATTTGGGGTTCTGGGTTTGTTTTGAAGGAGATAAAAACTGCTACCATAGGAGCAAAGAGTTTTATTACAGAATTTATACCATAAATAGAGACATAACAATACATTTCAAAGTGGATGGAGGTAATGGTAGGGGTATCACCAGTGAGATGAGTTCTGGAGAAGAGGAAAAACTCAGTCTCAGATAAACAGAAGTATGCCCATCCCTGGATCTCTCTCAGTTCTCCTGGTACATGCAGATGTGTGCCTTAAGAAGGCAAAAGGATTCCTCCCTTTTGCTTTCTAACCCCTGGTCAGCAGATAGGGGTTCAGAAAAGTCATCTGCTAGTAGGAGCACACTTTTCTTGTTCGTTTTAAGTGCTATCAGTGCTTTGCAACCATTCTGGCACTGTATCTTCACCATCTTGCTATCAGAGAGTTGGTAGTGTCACATCTCTATGATGTATTCAGCCTGATGCAATTGCCTGCTGGGTCAGCAAGAGGGGTTTTTCTCTTTTAGGCAAATGGACAGGATGGCTGGCTGTGTTTTTGTTTGTTTTGTTGAAGGACTTAGAGGATTTTCATTCTTTAGCCACTTCTAATGGAGGCCAACTTTTCTGTCAAAAGCATTAAGAGTAAGATTTTAAAAGGAATTGCAGAATAATTTGGGAGTGTTTACTTAATTAAGATATCCAAAACATGATAACCAGTACAGATAGAAAGACTGAAAATACCAGTTTTGAGATAAATATGAATAAAACTACCAGGGATGCGACTGGTGAGCCTTTTGAGAAATGGGCTCTATTTTTTCCGAATATGACTTATTTGAGACTACTTTTATTTTCCAAGGTGCTCAACACCATTAACGTCAGTATTCTGACTAGTTTTCCATTGACATTGCTTGAGAAACATTAGTGATCTCATATAAGAAAAAGGTGAGACTTTGCCTGGGATATTGTATATTGTTCCCATTACTGGCTCAAAACAGATGAGAGCAGAAGAGATGCAGAGAAGGAGAGCTAAGGAGCTTGGAAGAATGGGGAGCTTGTCCAGTCTCACATTACACTGATATGGGTCATTTTTCTAAATGGAAATACCTTGCCACGTTTATGGTATGAACCACAATGAGATATTTCTACATAAGAACCAAAGTTATTTGCTGCCCATCTCCTGTTTGTGAAGTTTAACGTCAACATCCTGAAATGAAGCCATAGGCATTAACGTTTCAGAGAGAGGTCACGTACCATGAAGTGGAGCGGAAATCAAGTATTGTCACCAGGTGAAAACAGAGAGAAAAAAGACTCTGTTCACTTATGTGCATCTGTGAACTGGATACGTGGAAGGAATCTTTAAGTG